GATACTAATAGTGCTCGTGTACGCAAACATTTAACTTGAGCACAGAGAATTTCTCGAATATGTTTGAGTTCTGCATAGTCGAGATTACAGCTCTGCTGATAACAAGGAAACTGCGAAGTACAGTGTTGATGTCAGGTTTCAGTGTTCAATATTGGCTAGGAGCAGATTTAACTTTCACTTGAGTGATGGAGAGGGAGTATCATGCCTTTCAGTCTTCTTCATATGTTCACCTTCTAATCTGTGTATAAACAATGCTAATCCGTAAGATCACAACCGGCCATTATTTGAGCTCACGTGAGCTTTGAGCGAGCACAAGGCAACCATTTCAAGCTTATCTAAATTAACCGAACCTAGATACACTATGTTCGAGCATCTGCTGTTATACTTATTTGAATAAAACATAACTAGATCGAATACCTTCACGAAACCTGGTACAGAATTAGATGATTAGTTCTGGAAACTTAATATCAAATATATTTTTTTATGGTATAGTTATCTCCTAACCAATTTATTAATTCTCTAATATATTCTTACTACAAAATGAACCTGTCTTTACTTCAACAATTTTTAGTTAAAATTAATAAATTAACAATCCTTGACAAGCAGAGCATAGACGGCGTTATAGTTAGTGGAGTTAAATTTGGTAGCAGAGATAATTAATAATGCGTAACTTAAGTTTCAAGCATATGCTTAAGTGTACACTTCCGTTTCCGTTTCAAATTCTGCACTTGCAGGCTATTTAAATTTGTGTGCATTTGTAGTGTAATTTTATATTTGATAGTTAATAGAGAGAGAGGCAGAGATGTATATGTACGTACATTTATGCGTTTACACACACGTGCGCTTGTACGTCTTTGCGTATACGCGTTTATGCGTTTGTGTGACTTTGCGCTAATGTACGTGTTTGGTCACTTTTGTGTTTTACTTGAGCAGCCGACAACAAACTGACCGGAAGACATAAATTTGTGGTTCCATTTGAATGCGTAATTAATTGTGCATTTAAGACAAACAACAAATCCATAACCCAACACTCAAGGCACATAACATACACAAACACGCGCCATTATAAGGTAAATGCATTAAGCAGTTCATAGCCGCATAGCCTCCTGCAAAAATGTATGTTATTTTGAAAATTGTAAGCACAACTTATCACAGTTTCTTATCCCACACTGAGTGAGTAAGACAGTAGAGTACGAGTACGAATGTGAGTACGAATGGAAGTACGAGTTCGAGTACGAGTGCAAATGTGAGTACGAGTGCGAGTACGAGAATATGAAGTTTTAGTTTACGTGAATTTGTGTAGTTCGCTACGCAACTACTCAATATTCCCTCATTTGTGTACGTTATTTAGTTTACAAATGTACATTTGCGTTCGGGTGAGTGTTTGTGTAAGTCCTGATGTGTCCTGATGTTCTGCTAATTGTAATCAAACTTTGTTGTCAACTAACATGAAAGCGTTTGCAAATAAGTTTTTGGAAGGTATTCACCGAATCCTTTTGCGGTTATTTATAGCTTAAATGCTCGGTTTTCACCTGTGAAGTTTATTTTCGTTTGCCAGAGCTGTGCGTAGTGGGTGGTCGGTCGGTCGGTCGGTTTCGGACCTTTGGTTGTGGAATAATAACCTACAGTTAATCTTAATTGAAGTTTGGTTAATTAGTATATAAAATGTATTGATTTAAATTTTACTTTGTTCTTCATTATTGAGAAACTATAAATAATTTGTGCATGGAGCATATAATTTGAGAAAAACCTAAACAGAGAAAATCTTTGATAGTTCTTTAGATAGCTGAGTAATTCTAATAGCTCTGACAGGAACTAACCACAACATCATACTTCATCAATGCAAAGGAGCTTCATCACAAACAATTTCTATTTGACTTGGCAAAGGGATATGTTTCTTTCAAGTTTTAAATAAAGTTTATTAACACATTTTGAATCTACTCGTATGTTGTAATGTTGACATATGGAAAAAATTTGTATACACAATATAAAATGGTTTCAGCGCTACATAATTTTATCAACTAAATTAAATCAAATCTATTTAAATATATCTAAAGTGCTTGTACAAACAAAAGAAAGATCTCTCCAAATTCTTATCTTATCTTAAGATGCTAACAACAATTTCACCTCCAATGAGTAAAGTGTTGAATGTTAGACCGAAAATTAAAGTGTTGAAAAATCCTCCCGCCCCCTTTAAACTATGTGATCAAACGAGTATTTAGTTTTTTATCTACAGAATCCGAGTGAATTGCGTACTATTTGCGCTTAATCGCAATATGAACATTATTCAGCGAATTAAGATGTAACGGCTTCACTAAGTTGTACATGTCATAAATAGGTTTGGCGAGGCTCAATAGAAAAAGGTTTAAGGAAGATGTATAGTTAAGATATATGGTTAGATAAGGAAGATGTATGGTTAGACTTTATCGAAATGTGAAAGCAGTGATCGAGATAAAGGAGCACTCTATTCATTCATTTCAAATGATATTAGAATGACCAGAAAAAAGTCAACATTTCACTATTCTTTCATAAGTCTTTCAAGCGTCTACGACTATACGGGGTGTGATAAGAAAGTAACAAAAATTTTGTCATTGTATGAGCTGTTTTTTATTTTGCTTTTTGTGTATTGGTTGTACTGCTGATAACGTGTTTATTATTAGTGTTATAGTGTCGATTTTAAAATTCTATGTTGGATGTTGGAAGTTTTGTGTAAGAAGTGAATATAATTTTTTATGTCGCAACTGTCGAGGTGTGTAAGTATGAATAGAATTATTTCTGTATTATGAATACCTATTTTATTTATACAGAATTTTTTGAGAACGTACAATTCAGTTTTAAATTCTAGAATAAGATTACGCTATACATAATAGTAATTCTCTTCTTACACGTCGTTAGGTCCTGTCTTGTTTATATAAGATTTTTTTGCCGCAAAAATTACAAAAAAACCAACATTTTATTGTTTTTATTAGTTCCTGTCATTGTTGTTTGTGGGTCCTGCCATAATTGTTATTATGGCTATTTTAGTGTTGGTGTTGCTGTTGGTGTTGGTGTTGGTGGTGGTGTTGGTGGTGGTGTTGATGTTGGCGTTGGCGTTGCTAATAAAGTGACTTTCGAAATAAAAAACGGAAGTCAAAATAAATAAATGGAAACTCTAACAATAACCACAACGTTTGACCAACGAACCAACCAAACATTTTTAGAAAGACATGCAATTTTATATGCTTCAACGTCATATACATATTTACGTCTCTATGCATATATACATCCATGTGCATATATATACTCGAGTATATGTAAAAATGTATATATTTGCGAATATGCATTTATGCTTGAACAAATGGACTAAAGGACAAGCATTTTTAAATAAACACATATAGCCATACTCGTATATAAGGACATATTTGTGTATACACTTACACTTAGCATCACATTTACAAATGTTTATGTAGTTATACATACAGTTTTTTTGCTCCACTGAAGTGGAAAAGGATATGCAGGAAAAAAAAAAATTTTTTTGTAGTCATAATAAAACTTTTCACAATTTGCGGAAAAGTTGAAATGAAATGATTGTTATGCAATTTTCTTGCCAAGAAAATTTATTTATTTGCTTGTTTGCAGTATGAATCAGTATACAAAAAGTGTATGTAGAGTAAAAGTGACCTTAACTGTAACTTCAATGAAGATTAAAAATGATGCATGAATTTCCCCCAACATATATCTAAAGAAATACTGTGATTTCTGCAGAAATGTTTTTGAAGTTGGAAAAGGAAAAAAATGTGTGAAATATATGGAAAAAACCTCAAATAAATTTTTAACTTTGCTTCAATTCTACTTCAGATATATTATCTTTTTATTTGCATCTTCTTCTATACTTGTAAGGATACCCAATAAAATGTGGACGATTTATAATACCACACCGCGATGTATGTGTTGGAAGCTTGCACCGAAATGATGCACAAAAAAAGTAATACTTGGGTTGGTTTGCTAAGCATGTTTGGTACTGCAATTTATGTTATATAAATATAAACGTACACAAATAAGCCCATGAATCCATGAAAGAGTAACGTGTCACATAATACTCGTATAACATAAAACAATTCATATTTCTCTTTTTAACTTCAAGTGAATCGGGTTAATTCCGATCTCTAAATGCCTAATTAGTTTATGCTTTTATAATTGACTTCAGTAAATTATTATTTATTTCTGTAAAATAATCTACTGACATTGCAATTTGTTGTGGAGTTCAATTGCGACTCAGCCTAACATCACTTCAATTTAAATCCATTGCTTCTCAAATTCAATGCAGCTTACCTCTAACGTAACTAAGCTCCATGAGAGCCCTGCATCAACATAACTAAACGCCAACTCAAATCCTTTTTAATATAGTTAAATTCTAACGAAGATTAGATCCAAAACACCTAAATTCCAACATAGCATACCTTCTGCGAAGGTAAGGTCTTATGTAGTTAGGCTTCTACGCATCAAAGCTCCACTACAGCTTAGTACCAATACAGCTGAGCTCCAACAATTCTGTAAAATATAAATGTATTTTAAAAATTAACATTTTTTTAATAATAATTATTAATTTAAAAAAAAATACTTTTTCGAAAAACTATTAAAATTTTTAAATTATATTAAATTTAATAATAAATATTAATATTTATTTTAATAATAAATTAAATTATTTTTAAATAACTTTTTTAATTAAAAATATATTTTTTATTATAATATATTTTTATTTAATTTTTTTTTTTATCTTCAATTTGAATAATAACTAATCTTATTTATTGGTTAGATCATGATAAATATCTATATTAATATTAATATAAATATTTAATTGATTAATAAATATCTATTAATTTAGATTTCAAAAATTTTAAAATTAAAAAATAGGTAAGACCTTTAAGTTTTATCAATTATATTTTATTTAATATAATAAATTAGTAATTTTAATTAATATACAAAAGGTAATGTATTTAATTTTTATTTCAACAGCGATACTACTACTCATCACCTTCCCCATTGGAAGAGATTGGAGGTGATAGTGATGCTGGTAGTTCCATATGAATTGAAGAGGTAGCAGGAATTGGTGATTCACTATCATCATCTGCTAGCTCTCTGTTAGCTAAATATGTAGATGGAGTTGGTATTGGCGATGCTGGTATTGGTGATGCTGCTAGCTGTCTATCAGCTAAATATCTGGAAGGGCTTAAAGGTGATAGTGATGCTGGTGGTTCCATATTAATTGAAGAGGTAGCAGGAATTGGTGATGATAGTGATGCTGCTAGCTCTCTGTCAGCTGAACACGTGTATGGAGTTGGTGGTGATGGTAATGCCACTACTTCCATATCAGTTGAAGTAGAAGATATTAGCGATGCTGATATTGGTGATGCTGCTACCTCTCTATGAGCTGAATACATGAAAGGGATTGGAGGTGATACTGATTCTGGTAGTTTCATGTCAATTGAAGAGGTAGCAGGAATTGGTGATGATAGTGATGGAGTTGGTGTAGATGGTAATGTTGCTAATTTTATATTAGTCGAACTATTTGATAGTGATAGTGATGTTGTTAGTCTGCTTGCATCGGCTGAAGTAGATGCTGTTGGTGATAAATTAATATTGTCAAAGAGAGATAATGAAGCAGCAAATTGGCTCTTTGAAGCGGTAGATGTAGATGCTACTGGTAATGATTGATTGTTCTCTATTATAGATAATGATGATGACATTAATTTCCGTGATGCATCAGATGGTGCTATTTTACAAACGAATTGTGATTTCTGATCATTAGGTTTTACATTTTGATTATTATCTGTAAAAATTTGTTAAAAATCTCTTCTTATTATTATTTTGTAATTTTAAAAGCAATCATTGTTGAAAGATAATCACACTTACGTATGTCCTCTGCACTGCTAGATTGCTGACCTATAATTAAGTTCCTACGATACTTAGAGGGACAAAGTCTTTTAGATCTTCGTATTATTCTGGTTGTCGGAATTTTTTTTATTCTCCTCTTTGGTGGAATAATTTTAACATCATCTTGAAATTTTGGTTTTGAATTTTTAGACAATTTCATTTATATATAATGAAAAATTTTCAGAGTTTAATAGTTTTAATTATTTAAATTCTTTTTAATTCATTTTTAATTAAGAACCACATACCTGGGTGTTCTGTTAAAGGTGCATGATCTGAATTTGTAGAAATAGCATTTTGCTGCTGTAGCGATGAAAAACCGTCACAATCCTTTTTCATTTCATCCATTATTAAATGTAAATATTTGTGAATATTCTGTAAATATATAAGCATTTATTAAAACCTTGTAAATTTAATAATGTATTAGAAAATTAAAAATATATAATTCTAATTTTATTAGCTTATTTTAAATCTTTCTGAAACGTATTAATTTTAATAAATCTTTTCAGTAGAAGAATATCTAAATTCAATATGAAAGTTGCTTTCTAAAATTTTTTTTAGTATAACTCACACTTGCAATCATGCTGTACTTAATTAACTTATTGTCTGTATACACTGTCAAGAATCATTATTCGTTTTAATTTAGACGAATAGCTTAATACATATCGCAGACCCTCTAATGATCATCAGTGGGTTTTAATTATTTTCTTTGGTTTTAAAAGTCCACATACAATAATTGAATTGCAAGTGTCAAGCTTGGGACTTTAGACCTGCTTAATTGGAAGCCAATAATAAGCGCGTTTTAGAAACATACGAGCCAAATATACATTTTCGTAGATTTCCGATTTGTGGTCACTTTTCTATTTTTATTTTTTTTAGAATACAAATAACCATGAAACTTCAGTGCCTTTGTTAGGTCAAGATTGTAAATCAGTTATAATAGTTAATTACATTTTTAGACATCAATAGACGATATAATATATACTTTTGAAATTTGGGACGCTACTGAAGAGGCTACAGCTCCAAAACCATAAGTAATAGGAAAGGTGTGGTAAAAGTAAAAACAAAATGAATGTAGAGCCATGTGGAGCCAAAGTCACACATCTGGATACAATAACTTAATAAATATAGTAATTTTTATCTCAGTATAATATCACAGCATCGTTAAAGTGAGATCAGTCAGATACACGTCTACCCAGGTATAAAGAATAATCATGTTTATGGCCATGTTTCGACTGTCACTTATAATATTTTGATTTTCTTAATTTGTAAAAGATACGCCTCTATCATGCCACCCGTCAACAAATTACAATAAATACTTTATATACAAAAGAGAATCGGTAACTGAAGAATTGTGTTTGCATCTTCCTTATCCCAACTGTCACAATTCTTTTTTTTGGCAAATCAGAGTGTATCACTCCATACACATATTACTTATAAACGCTACTAAAACATCAAATTAAAAATAGTGTTAGCTGATAGAGCTATTTATAGTGAGGAAGGGCCTTTTGAGAGAAGACCATATATGTATTAAATATTGAAATTTGTTAGTGTGAATTAAACGTAATTCAACGAGTAAAATCATTCTAGTCCAAGAAAGTTGAACAAGTTAAGCTAAACTAATTACTTAACCGCAAACAAAGGACAAGAAACAGGGAACACACCCGAATTTAATGCAAAGACACACGCAGTTCAGTAAAGGGTTAAGTTCCATGGAGTTACTATCATGTTTTTAAGGAATTAATAATTTAGCTTTCTTTTGTAATGAAACTATTAAATTTGACTTCTTTTATTTTCCGCACACATAAAAATGCTGTAGCCTCGCCTTTCACTCATACCGAAGAAATGTTCTTTATTCAACTGGCAAAGGACTTTTTCTTCTGTTATTCTTTATTCCAAACAAAAATTTTAGCGGCATTAAATTTGGTATTTTGGGTTCATATTCGAATTGCGTGCTCATAGCCATTTCTGTGTCATTATGTATCGATGGGTTCGGTATTGAATGGAGTAAATACCGTCGAATATTGAATAGCGATGGCAATAGCAAAAGGTTGGAATTTTAATGTAATTTTCTCGCTCTTCCATTTTTCCGTTCACTTGCTGTTCACCGCCCGTTGTTCAACGTTCCTCAATCGCTGCTTGCCTCTCGCCCCTTGTCGTTCACCATTTACTGTTGGCTATATAAGTCATTGGATTATGCATACGTAAAATACAGTAATAAATAAGGATTAAATTGGTAGAAAAACATGCATTAAATGGCGTAAAAGGTATGTTATGCTATGACGTTGTTGTAATATTCAACACAAGAAATCCAAATTCAAATTGCACAAAACCTGGAGACGGAGGTGGGGATGTATGTATGTATTCGGTTCCGTGAGTTATCAATTTCATTTTATTATTTCTTAATAATTTACTGCGCTCAGACGATCACGGGGCGATTTAGTTCCTATGAGTTAAGTCCTATGGATTTACTTTTAATCAACTAATGCACAAACGATTTAGTTACACAGATTATTGCATCTAAAAATAGATTCATAAAATTTAAGGTGTGCTGAGAGAGGTGCAGTAATGCTATGATATGGTGTGTATGGGAGCGTCCCCTCTAATTATTAAGTTATATAAATTATTGTGTTATTTTTCTTTTATTATAGCAGATAAGAGCAAGCTTTTACGTTCACATCAAATTATATATCAATTTGTTAATATTTTATGGTTTTTAATCAAAGCTAATATAGATTAGTTTTATGTTATATAATAATTTTTTTACACATACATTAAGGGCCAAATTATTTGGCTTTTTCAATCAAAACTTTTTTAACAGTATTAAATAAAATTCAAAACAAATTTATTCAATTTACTGTAGCACTCTTAGTGGTCCATAATAGCAGAAAAACTATATCTCCGTGGTACGGCCATATATTGAAGAAATTAATGAAAAACGATGCGACGAACATAGTTAGTTATGTGACCATCAAAATCGTCAAAATTAATTAAAAATAGTTAATTAAAATGTTTAATGTTAATTAAAAATAATCTACTTTCAAATCAACATTGCGCTGAAAATGTTCCATGTCATCGAAACTTTTCGGATGACTAGCAAAGGTAGCGATGTCATCCCGACTTTGGGACATACTGCACCTATGATGACAACAGGTCTTCTAATGTTCTGCAGACAGCGAACAGACGTATAGGGTAAGCCGTTAATAACCTATTGTACTGAGTATAAACATTATACAGTGCTTTTAAAGACGAACCAGTTATTGCGCACCTTAGTCAAAATTTCTTTCAACTTTTTTCGATCACCACAAAGTGGGTTACAATGCCTTAGGTATTGATCAGGTTACTCTCTGGTTTGTAATAGTCTCAGATAAAGAGAATTAAATGACTGATCCAAAGCTTTTTCTTAGCTTTACAATATTTCGTGCCAGTGCTCTATAGTGTTCGAATAAAAATAAACTTAAGAAATGAGTGCAGTTGCGTTTTAATATTAAATACGAAGCTTTATATATTTCGCAATATTCGGCATTGCTTTCCGTTCCAAAAACATGTTTCAAAAAAACATAAAAATGCTTGATGTCTGGTATCTGGAATAGAACTTTAAGCACTCCTTAAATTTACCTTAAATTTGATTTTATATTCTGACGCTAACGACCAGTAATTCTATATATATCAGCCTGATTAACCTAACTTACTTTTGGATTTTAAAAATGGACAGCCCTGCGTAAACCATTGAAAAATCATATAAGAGAGTAGCTTACTTCAATAAATTTAAATGGGTTTTAGTCAAAACATAGTCATTGTTATTATTATTGTTAGGGGATGTGGTACTATGACCTTCGGATCTATTGTGCCCCATTCTAGGTTTAGAGTAGGTCTCTAAGCCCTGTTGTGTCAATAAAAAGTAGTATAGAACCTACTTTACAGAGTTTTATTTCCGCTTCCGTAAGAATATACATTCCCAGGAGCCTATCTACTTCAATTTAAAAAAATGAAGAACTCGTGAACTTCAATACCTGCCTAGGCTTTAATACAATTTTTATGCATCGTCGACATTATAATAATTAACGTAAATCAGTAATTATTATTGATTAAAAGTCCCAAGACTCAGCTTCTTTATTATTATAATTAAATTAATATTACGATATATGAAATCTTTTCCGAATACAAATCTGAATATATTAAATACATAAAAATTCAAAGAAAGGCGTGTTATTGGTACATTTAGCGTTAATCACACCACAGGTTTGGAATTGTCTATATTCGTATATGAAACGCAATTTCAGCCACAACTGGCGTGAGATTGGAGTCTCCTCTTCACATCTTACACTCTTTCAATACTAAAAACACTTTCAATTATTGCGAAAGCTTAATTCGCCTCACGTGTAAATACTTTTCAACCGAAAATATAACCACCAATGATTTACAATGTAAACAGTGTCTTTGAAACTCAATTGTTACGCATCTCATCTAGCACTCTGGCAAAACTTCAGTGCACTTATATATTGAAACAGATTTGTTTATTTTGTAAAACTAATTAAAAATGCACTTAAGAAGATCTTAATTACTGTTGCATGCTGCGTTTGCTCTCAAAGTATCAAAATTCTCAAATGCAATAGATACGAGCACAGAATGACACTTGAGCTTCTCCAAACAGTTTTGTGACTAAGCAAGAAATGAAAACAAATTAACAAGAATCTAAATAAAAACCCACTTCAGTATTGCAAAATAATTATACAAATTAAAATAATGTTTTGCTGTTAGATGCAAAGCATTTTTGCCAAATTGAAGTGCAAAACTACTCAAAGAGCCCAAGAATGGATGGGCATAAGCATAAGCACAGGCGCAAGCTCAAGGCAACTAACATTAAACTAGCTTTTCGGTTAATCATACAACCTAAATAAACCGTTTGCTGTTAAGTGGTTGGAGGAAAGCAATCTGCACCGTACATACACCCGTACACCAGGACGTGAATATGCGCTCCTAAATGGGTTGCGCTACTAGCAACCGACATCCAACAAACGCAACCACAGGTAAAATGTCGGTAATTCAGTATGAACGGCATACTCTGTTTACTAGGACAAATAGTAACTGCTAAATTCTTCTTCACACTTGGCACACTCCTTTGCACACTCCTTTGCACACTCCTTTGCACGATGAGATACACATCGTTGGTCGTTGGTGTATATGCCAACAGATTCGTATACTGCGCACGTTTAATAATTTTGTGGTTATAATTATCCTTCAAACTATGTCCGCAAGGACTTAACGAGCTCAATGATCGGACCAAATCATAATAGAAATGCAGCAGGCTTTCGGTAGTGCAAATGTGCGAGCACTCTGCAGTCTGTACACAGCTGGGCACAGTAGTACACTAG